TCACGTGATTACCAGGGATGCGTCTCTCGGTTAAAGCATTGCAAAGCGGTAACTAACAAACAATGAATAAACAAGCTATTAATCAAACTCCTGTCACTTACGCTTATAAACTTCACAAACTAAACTCACAAGTCGTTAATCTAAACAAAAGTCATATGGCGTGGAAACGGAATGCAAAGACAAAGCTATCATAACACATTACTCCTCTGGCAATTAAAGACGGAAAAGGCTAAAACGATAGAAACTACTGAGTTACATATAAACCTGTCAATCATGAACAAAAGTTTGCGTTATTAAACAATACGTATATCGGCGCATCACACTCTCATCTCGAAAAGATATTAAAAAACGTTACAAAGGTGCTCTCAACTCAAAAAGCGTCAGAAGTATTCCGGAACAACATGTAAACAAAACAACTCTTAAAACGTCGATATCTCTGTACATCGACAAATCTCAAAACTCTTAAAAACACGTGGGGGCATCATTCCTCCCATCATATTCCGTACTCATAAACTCAGTAAAACTCCATAAAACTTCACAAAACTCATAACACTGTGTTGCAAATACTTGTCCACTGAGGCCCGCTTAAATCGTTATAAAGGACCTCGCACGTCACTAAATACCAGTTCAAACAAAGATCTGGGCGCTTACACACATACACTTCAATACCACAAAAAAAAAACGTTAAGAAAAAAACGATGGAAAAAGCAAGCAATACATTACATACTGAACAATAGTGTTGGGATTCTGAAACGTCTTGAGTTACACAGTGTCAGTTAAAGTGTCCAGCGAGCGATTCTCTAAGCAATACACAGATAGCTAAAGTTCTTATCAAAGTCTATATAGCGTCTTCTCTTGTCATCGCATTAGTCCGGGTCGTTCTTTATCATCTTCTTGTCTTTAATGTCGCTCAATTCTTGATTATATCCGTCCTATCCGATACTCGTCCTTCATAAGGGGTTCCGAAGTCTTCATCTCTTCAGCGTTGTACATCGGTGCCATACTGTTAACAGTGTTAATTGTCAAGCGCGGTTTTGTCTCTGTGTTCGAGCTGTTAGTTCGGTTCGCAAAAAAGACACACCTACGCCATTTCGCTTTTCTTTACAGGATCTCAATGTGTGTTAAACACCTGTCCGGGATCTCCACTCACCTATCAGGGGGAAATCTTCTCCTCTAGGGTTCTCCACACGTGCCAGGGGGGAAACTCGTCTCGTCTCTATGTCACGTCCCCTTGAGGTACTGGATCGGGAATGTCACTTAAGCTTTACAGTCGAATAAGACACACACAGCGAAATACGTTTCAACTTTCGTCTTAGTCGATCAGTCGAGCACTCTATAAGCACAGCACCCTGGGGAAAAATCCCCAAGACTATCGCAAGGCTGACCCAAGACTAGCCCAAGACTGGACTGCCTCAATTACAGTACCTGTATGATTTATGTAAGGATAAGTGCTACTAATAGAACAATTACAGTGCCTGTATGATTTATGAAAGGATAAGTGCTACTAATAGAACAATTACAGTACCTGTATGATTTATGTACGGATAAGTGCTACTAATAGAACAATTACAGTACCTGTATGATTTATGTAAGCATAAGTGCTACTTATAGAAAAATTACAGTACCTGTATGATTTATGTAAGTGCTACTAATAGAACAATTACAGTACCTGTATGATTTATGTAAAGATAAGTGCTACTAATAGAACAATTACAGTGCCTGTATGATTTATGTAAGTGCTACTAATAGAACAATTACAGTGCCTGTATGATTTATGTAAGGATAAAGTGCTACTAATAGAAGCAACTACAGTACCTGTATGATTTATGTAAGGATAAGTACTACTAATAGAACAATTACAGTACATATGTGATTTATGTAAGGATAAGTGCTACTAATAGAACAATTACAGTACCTGTAAGATTTATGTAAGGATAAGTGCTACTTATGCACAAAGCTTTGCATAGAACTCATTTGCATATTCGAATATGTTCGAACTGCAAGACCCTGTCGGTTAACACAGTTACGCTCAAGCCACCGTATTACTTCAATCGCTTTAATAAAACGTTTTACGCCCTAAATCTGAAAGAATTGTTCGGTTAATTAAATTAAAACATACATGTTTTACGCTTGGAAAGTGCAGTCCTTTTCAAAGTTATCAAGATATTAGATTATACAATAAATTACTAACTTTATAAACTTACTAGAACCTGTGTGTTCTATAACGGAGAATCAAATCCGTTGAAGCTAGAAATAGTATTGAAATATTCACCAGAAAACAAGACGAACAGGGTTGTTAGAAAATCCCTTCGAGTAAAATTTGTGTTTAATGTTTCTTTCCCTATCTTATGTACATAAACAGAACGCTGTTTTCCCTAGTTTTAGTTTATCACATGCGCCATTTCACTACAATAACATTACCTTGAAAAACATAGTCCGTGATAAAATGGTTCGTATTTACGTTTTTACTGAAATCTGACATTAATAAATAGTTCGGATTTCACATATGTTTCTTTCCACTTTGTGTTGTACATTTTTAGATGTAACAACTACAGGAAAATGACCGTGCGTAGTGAGGTGATTGACCACAAAAGGCTGCCTGTGGCAGAGGTATTATTGCGTAAAGCGCAAAGACCTCTGGGAAGGAGATTGCATAGACACATGTCTGTCATTTTTGTACAAATGGCTTCTATGAATTGTATGTGCATCACATAAAGTATTTTCTACTCACCAAGCATACTTAACAGATAATCAGCATCATAGTTGAGGCTGTACAAAAAAACGGGATCTTTGCCCGGAGGTAGTGATCTTGACAAACGATTCATCACATTGATAGTTGGCAGGGATACAACTCCTTCACATCATTTATCGCTTCTATTAAATCCACACCTGTTTGACGATGTAATATCCTGCAATGTTATAATATGTGGAATTGCATCTTGCCACACTTGCGATTCAAAAGCATACTTCCCATTGTCACCAAACTTATTCCTGGGAACAGAAGCCAAGTGTATGAAATCGCCACACACAATTAAAGTGGGGGGGGGGGTCGTCACCTGCGCATGCGTCAGATGGCCATGACGTGCCATTGTTTACAAGCAAGCGTCTACCCATGAGCCTTTGTGTTTTAGCGTGTGTTGTTATCGTCGCTTGGGACCTGGGATTACTGTGCGTGCGCAAGTGACGACCCTCACGCTTTAACTGTACACCTCGAAATGGCATATTTGATGACCGGATTGCTTTCATTGTGTTGAGTTGGTCAAATGTAACTGCTGAAACCATTGACATTTCATCTATGACTAAAGTGCAAATATTTTCTTGCCAGTTCCAGCTTGTCCCGTTAATAAAAAAAACTGTGTCCATGTATGGCCATGTCTAAACTGAACTGTTTATCCATTGTTATTTTTGACATTGTGATTTGCACTCTAAGCTCTACTCCACAACACCGGTGAAAAGTTATATTGAAAATTGTTGAATGCTAATAGCAAACCGTTTAGTTCACAAATGACCAACTTCAAAATGGAACAAAATTCAAAATATGAAACTCGGAAAAAAATTGAATGAATATGTACACTCAAATAATGCAGCATGTAGAGGTGAATATCACAAAGGCAATACATACTAACACTTGCAGAAAATAATTTCAGGAAGTTAGCCTACTGTGAACAACAAATAAAGTTATATAGGCATTAACTTTTATATTTTCTGCTGAAGTAAAATTTAATGAGAAAAAATATTACAAAGGACAATTCCAATGATAAGCAGTACACTTAATTTATTTTTATTTTTATTTCATCTTCTATTCACAATCAATTGTGTTTTATAAAGCCATACTTGTGCATGTTTCTTCAACCTTTTTTATTTCCATATTTTATTCTATTAAAGAAATAATTCTAAATGTTGATACAACTTTAAACTTTTCAGAAATAATTCTAAATGTCGGTACAACTTTAAAAAACATCATCTGTGAATATGTACTTGGCCTTGATATTCAAATTGTGAGACGGCGCAGTACGCACGTACGTGTTTGGGAACTGCGCATGCCTGAGTCCCGTTTTCAAAATAATCGCGTCGAGGGTCGTGTACATTTTGCTTTGGTGTTTCGATTTTCACAGGATTTCACCCGTTTTAGTTCGAATAAAGGTAATATAAGTCGATCGATAGGTTCTACCGATATCATGCTTGAGTTGTGTGAAGCGGAACGAAATATAATTTCGAAAATCGTGTTATTTTCGGACAATTTCGAAGTCATGGTGTCAACGCTTTCCTACCTTGTGTTTAATATTATATGTGTAATAGGGAAATGTACCGGCGACTGACTAACAATGCAGATCCAACTTTAGGTCATTTTTAATTATCCAAGAAACGTTCCGAGCGCCTGTGGGGGCAACGTCCATGCATGGCTGAGTACTTTCCATGGTCCATGTGACGCCGCCACTGAACCAATCAATCGCCCCTCGTTCCGCGCATGTGATATGCGACGAGCCTAATCCAGTGGTTTAATGTTATGCCAGTCATATGTGAAGGATAACGGTATTTATTTATTTTTTTGCGAACATTTATAAGTTTCTCCATTCGTCACACTAACATCAAAACTGAAAACGTAATGAAACACGTGCATGAGTACCCACCCACCCATCAAACTAGAGGTTGGTTCGTATCGTCTCCTCTCGTCCCGGATCGGTTTTTACATTTTGCCATATTTGATCAGCAAGTCAGCAAACATCGACATAGTTTTACTCCTACAGTTAGGAATAGTGTCAGTACACTGGAGAGGGAGAATGTAAATAAAATTAATGTTGATTATGAAATTTCAAGTGATGAAGTAAAAAAGCATATTAAATTACTTAAATTAGGTAAAACCTCAGGTAATGACATGTTTTCAAATGAAATGTTAAAACATGGTGCACCATATCTCATTAATTCAATTGCCAAATTATTTTGTTTAGTTTTAAAGTCAGCAAATTTCCTGCATTATGAAACTGCAGTTTAATTATCCCTATTTTTAAATCAGAGACCAAGTGGATTGCATAATTATAG